TCTCCATCGGGCTATTCCGGCCTGGAGCAATAAAATGCCATCCAAACAAAAAACTGGCCTGGATTCCACCTCTCAGCTTGGCATCGAAAGTTTAGGACTCCGTTCATAGTCTAAACACTGCCCCGCACCCCCATGTGCTCTACAGCAGGCCGGCGGGCACCTGAGAACGCACAGAGACGTCCACACCCAGAGTGCAGGAAGCTGAGCCGCGTCACGCAGCTACGGTAAAGAAGAAATGAGGCAGAGAGCCGGACAGCCAAGAGCTCCAGTGTTCAAAACCGACTGAGTTCCGGTAGTCACCCATTCTCATTCTCCTAGGGCTAGGGCGTTTTTGTAGGAGTTTTGCTTACGGGACACTGCAAGCGTCGCGGAAACCCTACTCCGCCTTGCACCAGCTCAGTCCCTTTTTGAGACTGGGGTACCCCCGCGCTCACTCTGCCGCGGCTGCGCAGTACGCACATTCAGCACTCCCCCGGTAGTCGTCACCCCACCCTCCTTCAATCCAGCTGATCACTGCCCTCTGGTGGCCGCCCGCTGCAGTAACTGCTCCCTGTGCAGGTTCTGGTGCTGAAAACAGCTCTGAGATCTTGGGGTTTGCTGATGCTTTCCAAAGCCACGGGTGCGCACGTGCTCCAGGTAAGCCTTTGGTGAACAGACGGGACCTGACTCTTCACCAGTTTGCTCTGCCGCTAGCCATCCGTGCAGGACTTCAGCCGCTCCCGTCACTTCTGGGTCTTTGGCCCCTCACCTACAAGATGGAAGGTTAAAATAAGTTCTCTCTAGTTTTAATACCTAAGATTCAAAAGGGCCTGGGATGAAAGTATGAGGTTCCGGAACCGTCAAAGCTTGGGTAGAGGAAGAAGAGGCAGCTGAGGATACCGGGAGGCAATACGTGGCTCCCGCACCTCTGGCTGCAAACTGAGGCTCTACAGGGCATAAACAAGGAGACAGGAGCAAGGAGATCTTTCCCGATACAGGATTTGGCTGGGAAAAGCAAGAGAGAAAGTGAGGGTTGCTGAATGAGGGAAATGGGTTGAAAGAGAAATTTTAAAGGAAAGAATGGTCTCCACTGGCCTAGTTGACAGGATTATCTCAGTGGGTAAAACCAACAAACAGCTTCGACTCACGAGCAGGGAGAGGAAGGTTCTGGAAGAGCCCACGGGGCTTGCTGCAAAGATCTTCAATCTGGGATGCTTTCCACAGCACAGTGCCTCGGGCAGCTGGGATAGGGTCTGTTACCAGGTCAGGGTAGTCCTGAACTTACCTTCCTGCCTGGCCTGCCAGTGCTCCTTTCCATCTCTTTTTTCACAAATGCCCCTTTCCTCTCATTTCCAGAGGGGGAAAAAAGCATCCCTCTCAACAGGTTATAAACTCGGCAGGTTATAAAAATTCCTGGGGCTCTGGACAAGCAGGCAAACGAAATTGGTGTTGATCTTCTAGGATCAAGGCCCCATAAACAGCCCTCTGCCTTCCATCCATCTTATGTGGGACATTTCCAACTTAAATTTTCATAATTGATGATTATTTATCAAAAGTGACAACATAGCTCTACATTGCTACATTGATGATGGTAAGGGTAAAAAAAAATGAAGATTTTTGCAGAGAATTTAATCATAGGAAATGTAGTTTCAGTTCACAGACATCTTTATTATAGGAAAATATAGGATGATAAAAAAGATCCACGTTAAATTATTGCATCAGGATAAAAATCTGTGGTGGAAGTAAAATGAAGATAAAGCCAAGGAGAAAAGGGAGCGTATTAAAATTTATAAATTGCTTGCTTTTGTGTGCTTTCAGAGGGCAACTGGAAGGTATCAAATAGCTATAGTATTTATTTTCTAATAGATACATATTTTAAAATAATGTTGCAGTTTTATTTTTAAAATGCAATATAGTTATATGGAAATGTACAGTCTTGCAATTACTTAAACTTATGGTTAAGAAGTTTTGGTGGGCAACTTTAACATGTGCAAGAGAGTTCATGTTTGAATATTATTTTAAGGGGTATATGAGCCACAATGTCTGGTGGCCATTGGCATGAGGTATCAGATGAGAGTAGAGGAAGCCAGAGGGTCCCTTGTTTGTGGGGCTTTATGGATTCTTCAGGCATTGCCACCAGGGGCATCTCCATTGGCAGCACTTGGTTGCAGCCCTCTTACATACTTGACTTTCAACTCAAGAGCTTGATTCCAAGAGAAGGAGCCCCAGTGGCCTGGGTTGTGCTCACTACTCAGAGGCAGTTTAGGGACACCACATCTGAAAGTTGTGCCAGGATCACTTGAAATGTTGAGGGTGCAGTTCCCCAAAGGAATGCAAAGATAGCATTGGCCTGCTGCAGACAAGTGCCAGGGGAAGCTATTGAGATGTGAGGGAAATAATGATGGCTTAGGCATCCCAAAACAGGATCCTGAGTTCAAGTAGAAGAATTAGACAGAGTGACCTTTTTTGAGGTAGGGAAAACTATTTGAAGATGCTGCAGGGTTTACAAGTGGGCTGAAAGATCCAAAAGGGAGGTTAATGCATGGACTATCCCCTCAGGGACATCAGGACTTTGGACTCATGGGTTATATTTTCTCATTTATTGTCTTCTGTCTTTCAGGACTTGTGTTAACAGCACAAGATACATGCTTATAATCCATATAACTACCTCTTCTGGGCTTTTCTCTCCCCAGACTCAGTTTCCTCTCTGCTTTGCACAAACTTTTGTACACACACCTCTCTTCTATGGTTCTAACTGCAGTCATGATCCAACTTTTGAGGAAAAGTTCATTGAGGATGAATGGGGATGGCAAGTCCTACTCAGATTACGTATTCTGAATGACTAAGGCTCCCACACCACTACCCTGGTGTCTTTCCATACCAGACTCAAGCCTGCTTGGATTAGGACCTTCAAGTGTGTTTGTTAAGGTGTACAGGAGGCATCTTAGTCCATTTTGTGTTGCTCTAACATAACACTACAGGCAGGGTAATTTGTAAAGAGGAGGCCAGGGATTTAGCTCAGTGGTTTTGCCACCTGCTGCGCAAGTGCAAGGACCAGAGTTCCATCCCCGGTACCAAAAAAAAGAAGAAATTTATTCTTTGTAGTTCTTAAGGCTGACAAGTCCAAGAAGGAGGCGCTGCATCTGATGAGGATCTTTTTGCCACATCGTAACAGGGAGGAAGGCATCAAATAGCCAGACAGAGCAAGTGTGTCAGCTCCCTTTGTCCTTCTAAAGCTACTAATCCCTTTGTGTCCCCACCGCCATATGATTTCATTTAATCCTAACTACCCCCAAAACTGCATCTCCAAATATCACTAATACATCAATTTGAAGATTAAGTTCCCAACAAATGAGCTTTGGGGACACATTCAAGCCGTAGCTTCAAGTAAAAGCTAAAGTCCCTTTCCAGAGTGTGGTGCTGTCAGAGCAGCTCTGCATGAGGAATTGGGAGAGCTTCCAAGTAATGTCACCCAAGGTCCCCTGCTGGTCATCTTCTCCTCTCTCTCTCTCTCTCTCTCTCACACACACACACACACACACACACACAAGCGTGCATACAAATCTTGGGCTGTGAAGTACTGTGCAGTTTGCCGAGAAGCTCCTCATAATCAAGGATAAAGAAAGTCACAATTCTAAGGGCTCCAAAATGAGTTGTGCAGGTGAAAAATCGTTACCAAATGATTATCTTCTCTTCTATACTTTCCCTAATCAAATGTGAATTTTATAGAACATCCTAGTGAATGCAACACAGGTCTGCATCTATGAAGGGAGTAGGAACAGCAGGCATGTGGTCAAGATTTCTTAGGAATCCTAAGAAAAATGTCTCTTCTTTAAATTGAACTATTAAATCTTATGAGTCAGCCTACAATAAACTTAATTGAAATTTAGGGTAGGCTCTAACAGTTGAGACGATATTTCACTCTACGATATAAAATATTCCCATTTTCAAAATGAGTTGGGGATATGGAGAAGAAGACAGTGATGAAACCTACCAGAGTAGTTTCCTTTAATGAAACCCACCAGTAGGTTTAAAATATTCTATCAAAATTTAAAACACAACTTTAACGCAGCTATTCCATATGACATATCTGTAAGGATATTTGTAACAGCTTTTTTTTATAACAGCAAAAAGTTATGTGTTCATTAAGTTAGACAAATTACTCGCTTAATCAAATATTACCCAGCCTTTAAGAGATTGGAGGGGAGTTAACATGGATTTCCAAAATATTTTAATTTATAAATAAGCAGGTAAGAATTAAGAATTCTCAGGTTAAGAATATGCTAGCATTTCTGTATGAAAAAATATGTATTCAATTAGATTTGTAAATATGTATGAGCATTTCTAAGAACCTAGGTAAATGCTATTATGATAGCTGCCCACAGAGAAAGGAACAAGGTAGTTCAGAAGGAAAGGTGAGTTGTTTTGTTTTGTCCCAAGTGAATGTATTATCTATTAATATTTTTTATAATAACCATCCCCCTCAATAAAAATGTGCCTTTAGGGGCTGGGGATGTAGCTCAGTGGTAAAGTACTTGCCTAGCAAGCACAAGGCCCTGCATATGATCCCTAGAACAACCAAAAATAAAAAAGTCTTTGTGTCACTTATGGTCTATCAACAATGAAAATACATCACTGTCAAGTTGACTAATTTCTAGAAATCCTAACCTTCATTTTTTTCTCTTAGTAGAATACTTGGGTTGGGCAAGTCAACCACTTAGGTGGCCTCAGATTCTTTATTTGAAAATGATGGCTTAGAAAAGAGATGACTTCCAAAAATCTTTCTGGTCTTATATGAGTCAGTGATACATAGTTTTAAAAAAAAATGCAACAAATTGGCAAGGAGAACCTGGGTGTTTGTCAGATGGTGGGTTGTAGTGATGTGACTACGGTAACTATAAACAACTATAATTTCACAGTGTAGTTCATTTGTTAACAACCCTTCTTAATTTCTCCTTCATTTCTATTTCCCCATCTTTGAAATACCTGAGGAACCACCGAGGAACCACCAAAGAAGCAGATTCAACTGAAGAAATTTATTTACTTTTTATTCTAGGTACATAGATGACATAATTATAGACAAGTTTTGATACATAGGAAAACCTTTCTGTCCATCGTTCCTTTTGCTAAATGAATCATCACAATAATTTTTACAGTTCTTAAAACAATACACAGCTTTCTTGGGCTGAAGCAATTGCAAGAACATATTGGTACTGGTATATTACAGCTACTTACAATGTTTAAGAACAGCAATGGAGAAAAATAAGTTATTTAAATATTGATTTCATATACAGAAAGTGCAATGTTGTTAGTTGTTATATAACTTGACAGTTTGTTTTCTCAATTTAAAATCAAGATACCTTGGACTCAGACAAGTATATTTTTTTCTGAACATAATTTAGTATGCACATGCAGGAGTGACTTGGTGAATGGACCTCTCGCTGCAGTTATGAATGCAAACTCTGCTATGTCAAGGACTGATTTCTACTAGACAAATCATTTCTAATTTCAACTACACCTGGGGTCAGGACAGAGAAAAGTGCCTCTGCGTGAGGCAAGGCCATGAAAAGCTATTTGCTTTCAGTTATTTGGGAATGTTAAGTGGTAGCTGGGACTGGCTGCATTTCCTTCCAGACAGCTGTGAGATTACAAATGACACACAATGCCATGTGTACCTACCTGAGCCAAACTGCCTTTCCAGGTTTCTTTTGTGCTTTCCAAAGACAGTAATTTTCACCATTACTCAAATTCTGTACCAAATGCAACTGATAAAAACTGGATATTGCTAAAACCTACCACCTCCAGCATCCACAGGCAGCCCCAAACCACCTCAGTCAATGGTCACACAAACATTCAGGCTTTTCTCAGATCAAATTAAAAGTTTAAAGCAAAAGAAGACCAAACAAACACTAAAGGTAGTAAAAAAAAAAAAAAAAAACCCAAATTTAAAAAAGGTAAAAACAGGGCCAGGGGTTTAGCTCAGTGGTTCCACCGCTTGCCTCGCAAGCGCAAGGACCCAAGTTCGATCCATGGTACCAAAAAAAAAAAGGTAAAAGCAACCTAGCCCCCTCAAATCAGACATTCATCCTAAAAAGTTATTCATGGTCCCTGAATTTAATTTTCCATGCAAAGGCAATGATTTACAAAGAGTGATAAAAATATGGTTTGACATTCTCAAAATCTCTGATGCTAGTTTTAGTGAAACGAAATCTCTGGGCTGGGAACAAATTAAAACTGGGAAATTCCCATGTGATTTCTCCTTTGTTGCCTCTAACATGACCTTCACGTGGTCTTCTGGCTCAGCTGAAAGGAGGAGCAGACTCTGTCCGAATGCCAAGCCAAGGTATTTCAAAAGCAAGAAGAAAAGCCTGTTTTAAGGTCCCCACCTCCACCACAAATGACATCCAGTGACTGCTGTAGTTCTCTGGACCCTGCAGCCCTACCACCTTCCAAATGGGCTGTGCCACAACCCAAGAGGACAAATATTGCTGTAACTTTTAAGAATCCCACAGAAATTTGGCAGCATTGCCTTTTTATTCAGCATTGCCACAATTTCTTCACATGGCAATTTATAGAAGGTAAAAGTTATGGAAGAAACACATTGTTTTTTAAAATGCATACCAATGCATGAAAAGAAAATACATCACCTGAGAATGTCCTTTTCCTCAGAGACATATAAAGCATGTAAAGATGGCTTTGTAATTAATGAAATCATTTCCTCCACTTCCCTGAGGGAAACCATTTAATACAAGAGGAAACATTAGAGAACTTTTGATCAAGGTCTTATGTTCAAAGTGTTTCTATTGTAAATGATCGTATTTGATGCTTCCAATAGTGCTCATGATTAATAATGTGAAGGGAAAATCATTTTGTAAGCAACGGAAACCTTAATATTGTCTAAATTTGCTGTTTGCTAGAAAATGAGATACGAGACTACAAGAGGATATAATATGCTGAAATCAGTTGGAAAATAATTGAAAATATGCAATATTCAACACATGGCTAATGTGGTTTGGCTCCCTAATGAACCCGTTTGAACAAAAAGAATCATCTAAATAAGAAAAGAAGGATAACAATATCTTAATTATAAAACTAAAAAAATTGAAAATATCTTATATACTGCCTCCCTTTTTAGAAACAGCTTTCTGAAATATTTAACCTTACAGTGAGTTTCTGCAAGCGTGGTCTCTTAGCTGATGACTCAGTTTTGGAATGGACGTGGTCAGGATTCCAAGTCAATACTGCAACAGTGACCAATGTGGTATGATACTAAACTGATTAAAATGAAAGGCAGTTACTACACTCCCACACCCACACCCACACAGATATCTTTTGTCAGTTTCAGATAGCTTTTTACTAGGCTGTAGTTAGTTTAAACACAGAAAGCCAGGATGAAATGCGTGCCTGATCATCACCCCTACAAAATAAGCCATGTTAGAATAAGACAATTAGAAAAGGCCATTTTTGCTGAAAACATCCCAGACATGTCACATGGCAGTCTTAGGCTGAAGATTTGGAACTAGGGTTACAGGGTTGTGGACACTAGTTACAGATAACTGCTTGAAAGCTGATATTAAGGCAAATAAAAGCTGATTGCTAGAAAGCAATTATTTGAAAGTCTCTTGTTTATCTAAAGGAGAATAGGACTTTGTTTTTCCTGCTGCAGCCAGATGTTCTAACTTCTGAACAAGTGAGCACAGTCAATAGTATAGAATAATTCCCGGGTCTGGTACTTTGGCCTAGCTAACCCCACCTGGTTCAGGCATCCTGCAGGGTGACCAACACAGGGCAAGGGCACAACCAAAAACAACGGGGTGCTCTGCTCTCTCCTCTCTTCTCAGCCCTCTCCTCCCTGCTCCCCACCATCTGCCAGCCCAGAAACAGACAGAGGCACAGGGTCTGCAGCTACTTGGCATCTTGGTTCTTCTGCGTTCTGAAAATAAAAATAAGCACTTCTCCTGCCTTTGGGGGTCAAAGAGAACCACACCAATTTCCTCAAGGGGCTTCTTTGGAGGAGAGGGTCCAGTCCTGTGCCTGGTTTCATGTTCTGGGGGCCACATGGGGGCCTTTCTTCTGGATTCCACCAGCCTGCCCATGATGGAAGAACTGCATCAGCTTCATGAGCACAGGGAAAGGCTGGCTCTGGTCCAGGGAGGTCCATGGTGGGCTTGGCTACATTGTCTCAGGGCTGGGTGGCAGTTTGAAGAGTCTGGCTGCGGACACGAGCTTCCTGATGTGTCGCTCCTCTGTGATGCCGGCCTCTTGAAGGCAAGTGTGGGACAGAGAAGGCACTTGGCTCAGTGTGCTGAACCCCGCGTCAGAGAGGGTGCTGGTGTACATGGGGAGGCCGATGGAGATGAGCCAATCCGACACAGATGCGATGCATCCAGGAGAGAGGGGCTTCCTGCAGATTTCAGTGAGCCCACCACTTGGGATCTGGATAAACACAGAAAGCAGAATCTAAAGACTACCTGGGCTAGTGGAGGCTATGAATTATGAGTGTGTGCCTATAAGAAAAAGAACTGAGATACAACATTGCTAGGTTATAATCAGAAAGTGATAATGCTATGACAGGTCAAAATTCAAAAGTAGAATAAAGAGTTCTCCTCAAAAGTGGCACCTGGCACCATGTGCCAATTTTCAAACTGTAAACATTTCTATACCCTGCTATTTAGTCTCACTGTGCTACGCTTGTCAATGAGAGATCCCTAAGGATTTGCAGAGACAAACGTATATGAAAGTGTGAAAAGGGATATTCAGTGGCTGGGTTTTTATAAAGTAGATTTTTCTACTGTATTTTAATCTTCAGTAACAACCAGAAAATTCAGTATTTAATCAGTACAGTTACAAAGAATCTGAAATACCATAATATCAAATATTGGCTGAGACAGGGAAGCAGACATTGAAATTTGATGACTAGGAGCCAGGCACAGTGGCACACAGTCTGGCACTCTGGGAGGCTGAGACAGGAGGGGTACAAGTTCAAGCCCAGCCTGGAAACTTAAGAGACTCAGCCAGACCTTGTCTCTAAATTTAAAAACTTATGAAAGAGCTGGGAATGCAGCTCAGTGGGAAAGTCCCAGTGCATGAAAAAAAGTTTTTATTTTTTTAACCACTGGGCTACATCTTTCAAGAAGGTGATTATGTAACGTGTGTGACAACCCTTGAGATTTTGTACAGCATGGATGAGGCAAAAGCTTTTCAGAGAAATGACCTTGGAAGTCTACAATGATTTATTAACAAAGATATTCTTTACTACATTATTTAATATAAAAAACCTACATGTTTCGACAATGTGGGATATTTATCTACTGGAACACTTTGAAAAATTGATAACAGAAAAGAATTCCTGATCTGACAACTGAAAACAATCGAGTTTCAAAACTGTACATTTACAATTATACGTGTGCACAGAAATAGCTAAGTTTTTACATATTGGGAAATAAGCATTGTATATATTTGGGATATATAATATTCCTACAAATGTACACATTGTAGAACAGCTAAATCAAGCTATTTAAAGTATGCATTGCCTCACTTACGTTCTTTTGTGGTGAGAATAGTTAAAATCTACTGCCTTAAGAATTTTTAATATATTGTTATTAACAGTAGTGATAGTGTAGAGCTCTTGAACTTATTCTGCCTGTCTGAAAATTTGTGGCCCTTAGTTAGAACTTTTTAGAGGTTTTCACAGTACTAGGGTTATGATCATTTTAATTTCCTTCTAAAATTGTATGTTACGGAAGCACCTAGGTGCTGAGAGTATAGCTGAGAACACTTGCCCAGACGCAGGAGGCCCTGGACTCAATACCTGGCAACACAAAACAAAACAAATTCAAGCAATTCCTGGCTAATCACATGCTGCTTCCTCTCCAGGCATCTCCTTTCCAGGGCCATTAGCAGCCCTTGTCTACCAAGCACCTGTCAGCTACTCGTCACCAGCACTGTCACTAAATGTGCAACAAAAAAGCTACTGAGGGGCACCAGAAGCACAGGCTGGCTGCTCACCGCCATCCGGTGCTGCTTCCGCAGCAGTTTCACTCGGATCTGGTCCATGTTGGTGGCAACATCCTTCTCGGGCTGATCTAGGTCCTCTGCATATCTCTGCACCAGGGCTTCAGGGATCCCACAGCGGCCGTGCTGCAGGGAGGAACAGGCAAGGGGGCACAGAGGGCAGCATGGATTATTTTTCTTTTTCTAAGATACATTGACTATAAGCTAAGACAAGACATTTAGCTACAATAAAATAATATCAAAATTTTTAATTTGAGATAAATATATGCTGTTTGTGATCGGGATGGATGCTTTCAAGGAAATACATTTATGTCTTTATGTTCCAAATACTGATGAGCTCTAGGGCAACTTCTGAAGTCTACTGAAGGCCAAAAAACAATTGTCCTGAATTTTTTAAGCCAACGCCTACATCTTACTAAACCTGATCATTTTGCAAAGTCCAATTCCTCCGATGATGTTGATGCTAATCTCATCTCCAGGACAAACTTCTACCCTACGGATATTCCACTGTTTACCCTTCATTTGTAGGACTTGTAGCATCAATCAGTGGGCCATGTCTTAGAATTCTCCCTACTTTCACTTCAAAGGGTGTTACTCATGAAATACCAAGGAGACAGAGGAAAGGAAGGGAGGGGATGTTACCACAGGCATTCATGGTCATAAGAATTTTATAACAAGGACTTCTAGGAACACTTTATAATGGCACATGCAGTTCCAACCAGCTCTGTTAGTGCTGATTTGTCTTCAAAGTCACTTTGGTACTGGTAGATCTTTTTCTATCATTTTCTTCAAATAAATTATTTTTCATTATACATCTAAAAGATTTTGGTACAATAGAAGTCTTTATATTATCATTTCCTCCCTATTATCTACATAATTGTACAATATAACTACTGTATTACATCTGAATGGCGTCCTGCAGTTTTCAAAGTATGGCCCCACTTAGATGTATTTGCTCTCAGCAATTCACCTACGAGGTACATTAGGGTGGTGATACTTAAGCCCAGCTGATTTACAGGGAAATGCAGAGGGGAGACAGTCATGACTCAACACACACGTGTAAGTAGGACCTAGATACTCGGACTTGAGTTTCTCTTGCCCACTAAACTGTCCTTTCAGAAACTGGTTCTGGTCATTCTCCCTGCAAAGTGTAGCTGCCAAAAATTAAAAACAAACAAGCAGGAGCAGAAGAAAACTGTGAGGCTGCATTCACATGTAACCTGAGGACTGTGGTCCCTGGTCAGCAGCGGGCTGGGTGTCTGACAGGCAAAAGCCACTGGCAATGACTCACCACACTTTCAGAACAGCCTGCTCCAGGGCTGCCTCGGGCAGCTGTGTGGGGGTTTCATGTCCCCTGGATGCCTGACAGATAAAAACAAAGGACTGTAGGGGTTGGGGAGGCCCAAGCCTCTGCTACCTTATCAGAGTACGGCTCTTCTGTGAGGTCAATGCCTTCGGAGTGTAGCTTGCTCTCAGTGAGCAGTTCCAGGTCCACGCCCCGGTTGCAGGACACCTTCCTGCTCAGTGCTGGGCCCAGCTTCACACCATGCTCCTGCAGGGTGGCACTCTCAGGCAGCTCTGAGAGCCATGGCGGAGGCCTGCTGCATGATGGGCTGTCAGGTTCCTGCCCCGAGGGAGACCTGGATACCTGTGCTGAGAGACAATCAGCAGGGCTGGCCTTCTTCACTGGCAAGTATGGGGCATCTGGGCTGGGGAGGGTCACCCCAGGGACAACAGAAACAAGGTGGAGGCCGTTGGCAAGGCGTTCTCTGCTCTTTTTAGCAGGAACAGGTGGAGGCTGTGAAGGGTGCTTTGGCTGTGTCCTTGGCTCAGGGACCCTCTGCTCTGTATCTACCCCTTCTTTTATGCCTGGGGGATGGTGTGTTCCTTCAAAATCATGTCCTTTCTTGTGACCCTCAAGAGACGTCCTTGTTAAACTGTGCCTAACTCCAGAAGGCTGAGCCTCAAACTTTCTGGGCAAACACTGAGGAGGTGAAACACCACAGGAAGAGGCTGCTGGGGGACCTTCAGCTTTCCTGGGTGTCATCTTCTGAGAGTCAGGACATCTCTGGCTTTGGGTCAGTAGCGAGGCATTGTTGGCTGCAGAATTTCGCCCTGGAGGTTGGACCTTCTCGGTGGGGGCGGACATCTTTTGGGGCACTTCCGGTATAATCTGAGGAGAGGTTTCTGTCACTTCAGGAGGCACATCTTTTCCAGCATCAGGCTGTCCTTGGAGGTCATCCAGGGAATGGGATCGGGGCCATGCTTCCACAGTCTGGGGGCCCTCCAGGGTCTCACAGCTCCGACAGATGGAAAATGGGAGGCTTCTCCGGCTTTTACTCAAACCAGTCACACAAGGTGGGTCACAGTGCTTGGAGACGACTGGGGAGCCACCAAGGCCCAGCCTGCTCTCCTCTCCCTGCTTCCGTGTGTCCACTGACTTTGTTAAAGGCAAGGTGGGGTACCTGCCCAGCTGATTCTTGTGAAAAGGCTTCAAGCTGGACTCAGCTGACGACTTGCCAGGTAAGAGGCCAGTTTTCTGAGTCTTGCCTGTGAGACAAGGGAGTATTTTACAATCACGTTTTAAAGTAAATCACATTGATGCATAAAAGTGTGCGAACATAACTGACATCTCCAGTTCCCACATGCCCATGTTGAACTGCACTAAGGATACAGAATCATCACATATGACAATGGGTGAGGTAGGGCCACTCTGATCCCATTTTTATTTTTAGAAAGAATTCTTGGTCTTATTAAAAGACTTATGGAGACTGAAATTAATTAGATTATGCCATATTAGGAAGTAGCAGAAAGCAAAACTTAATGTCTTTTTCTACCCATAAGCAATGTAGAAGAGGGTCAATCATCCAAACCCTGTTTGGAAACCACACAGATGGAATTTCTGTTTAGCGAGTACAATTTCCCAAGGTCATGGTTGAAATGGAGAGGAAGACAGATTCCTCTGAACAGCTTCTATAAATGATGCCTCAAAAGGGTGATTAATGAATACTCAAAATCACACCTTCCTCCAAGCTGCTCCCTTCTAATAAATTCATCCAGAACCAACCAACCAACTTTGATACAGACCAGTAAACAAACCGAAGTGAGTAGTTTGTCAGAAACCACCTATAAAATGCTTCTCTGGTTCTAGGTCCCTGCAAAGCAAAGCCCTAGCTAAAATGAACTGTCAGCGTGATAAGTGAGCCACCAATCAGGCACAGTCACTTATTTATTTGATGACTGCTGACTGGTATTAACTGCTCCTGCTGCTCGAAAAGCTTTACGGAGAACATGCTATATGTGGGCCAGGCACAGTGCTACGTGAACACATACTAATTAACTGTCCCTGGTTTCATCTTTGGTTAATAACATGTTTGTTGTGAGCTTTGACATTGGCAAATCCCAGAGGGGACTGCCCCAGATAACAGAATATTTGAGCCAAGTGATCCCATTACTCTAGGCTTATAGGAAAAGATGAGTAATACTAAACCTACATCAGGTTGGGAAGGTTCAAAGAAATGGCTGGCTCTAATCTCTGGAGAGCCACTGTGTTGTTAAAAGTAAGGTTTTTCTTCCTAATTTGTTGCTTCAGTAAACATTTTTAATTATATATTTTAATTTAGAATTTTGATATATCCCAATTAAGCAGGCTTACCCTTTCCGTGTATAAAGCAGCAGGAGAAATCAGCCAATGGGCTGATGTGACCGGGTGGAGAGAGGAATGGGTGGGTGGTGCCCACCCAAAGGAGGAAATGGGTACTCTGGGATAAATGAAAGGCATTCTCTGATAAAAATCTCTACCAGTATGCTGCATACACCAGGGGAAAGGAACAGAAAGAAAAGTCCTGAGGCACTGACATTACAAGTGCTTTGGCCATTATCAGCAGGGAAAAAAACAGATTCCTGTATGATCTACAGACTTTTACCAAGCTCACTCTAATTCCAAATTAAAAATATGCCACGTGTCACATCATGCATACTGCAGGCCCTAAGACTGATAGATAAGAACAGTGGCATCTCAATCAGTCTTCATATTAGTGATTCCATCCTTTCTTTTTTTTTTTTGGTACCAGGGATCGAACTTGAGTCCTTGCACTTGCACAGCAGGTGACAAAACCACTGAGCTAAAACCCCAGCCCTTCCATCCTTTTTAATAAAATAAAAAATCAACATATGAAATATTCTGCATTCAGCAGAGCACAGACCTGGTCAAATGACATTTGTCCTCCCTTATGAATAGTAACTTGAGACCTTAAACCCTCCCTACCTGTATGTTCCACGCCAACATGCCAGGCATTTTTCATAGGTTATTATTTTATTGCTACAAAACAACAACAAAAGAGATTGGTAGCCTAGTGTTATTACTGAATACACTAGTCATACTCCCACTTTTAATAACAGAGGACTCATCCCAATAAACAGAAAAGCGAAATACCTCTTCAGAAAACATATCACATTCAAATTTAAAAACTGGCTGAAACTATAAATTCTTAAAATTCCTGGGCCAGGGATTTAGCTCAGTGGTTCCACTGCCTGCTGACCAAGTGCAAGGACCAGAGTTCAATCCCCGGTACCAAAAAAAACCCCAAAAAACTCCTTTATTGTAAATTTTAGAAATACAGTGCAACCAGAATCACAGAATGAATACTTCGACCAAAATCATGGGAAAGAATTAAATTCGTGAACCAAGGTACTACTGTATGGCTTTCCTTCCCTTTAACTCCCAATATAAATCATACTCCCCATATAAATTCCATTTTCACATTCTGCTTAAATTGGAAAGATCCCTGGATTTACCTTGAATTCAAAATATGGTTCGTCATCTTCTTTAATCTAGTTCTTCAGCAGGAGCATCTGAATTCTTTTGGGCACTCAAAATTCTGCCAGTGCTATCTTTGAAATCCTTATCAATCCAGCACAGTTGGAACTAATTTTCTGAAAATGTTTGGCTATGGAAAGGTTATTGGCAGAAAAGCCTTCTGGACCTACATGAGGATTTGATGTTTACTGCAACTGAGAATATACTGTGACCTTGGTAGGTTTTATACCCCATCATGACCTAGGCTCCAAGGGACTGAGCACCCCATTAGGATGTGCACTCTGGGCACCTACTTGACTCAACCTCAGTCCTGACTTTGGTGCCCAAAATGGCTTTCACAATTATTTGTTTGGGGGGTACCAAAGATCGAACTCAGGACCTTGTGCTTTCAAAGCAGGCAGTGGCACCCCTGAGCTAAATCCCTGGCCCCTTTTCACACTATTTTTTAAACCATGATTTATAGTAAGAAAAACATTTTACATTCACTCACACACACATACCCAAACACATACATCACTGAAAGATTGTAAGTAACAACACTAGCAATACTGATTCTTACCTTACGGAATGCATACTGATATTTCCTACACTATTTTTCTCAGCAAACTGCTACCTATGACCCACTAAATTGATTTTACCCCGTCCTTATGAATTGGAATCTACAGTTTAAGAAAGGTTGCCTTAGTGGGTGCTAATGATTATGCTAACACATGGACTCATAGATGGGATCTCAATGACAGCTAAAAACTATCAGACCTGAGCATTTTTTCACAACAGTCTTCAAGTGTTCAACTGAGATTTAGGTCACAGTAGCACTGTAAGCCCTTGGGTAATGTTTTTGAATCTCACAATAATGGCAATTTTAAGGTCACAGCATCAAACTACAGTGCGCCCCCCCGCACACTGCCCCGTGACATTTAGCCTGCTTGACCCATTTCTACATAAGACTCTGCTTCTGTTTGAGACAAGTATGCTTTCTGAAATTCCATATTGAGGACTTCCCCACTGCCAGGCCAGGAAAGCCACAAACAAGACAAGTGGTCCTGCAGCTGTCCTCCCCCAGAATAACTGCTTCTGCACTGAGCCTGCATAAGGTGTTTCAGACATGGCTACTGCTGTGGTCCTGATGGATAGTCTACCTGGTAAATTGTTTTCCTTGTGGACCTAACAGTTCTCAACACTCCAGTGTTGGTTGTTACTGCATAAAGCAAAGGGCACAGGAGACACACAATTTAGGTTTTATAGCTGCAGGTATTTCAGATGGAATTTATTAACCTTACACAGGAGCCAGGATGAATAAGCACAGGGGCTAACTGGAGAGCAGTGTGGGAAGAGGCCAGAAATGAAAAGATGATTACTGGGTTCATCGTGGGAAAACAATCAACCTTTTGGATACAATTACACTTTTGATGGCCTGTGCTGACATTACCATTTTCCAGGTTCTCACTGCTCTCGTAGCATCCTGAGTCTCGTGGGGAGCATCCGCTCAGGCCGTGGCTGTCCACCAGCAGCTTCTCCTGCGACCCGGACTGGTCACTGTTACCTGGTGAAGGTGAACACATGGGGTAGAATCACAGAGGTACAGAAGCACAGGTCCCTAGTCAGGCAGCTCCCGACTTCATCCTCTTACTGCCATACATTTTTAAGCCTTGGACTTTAAAAGAGAACAAATTATTTCAAGGTAAATAAGATCAAAATGAACTAATGAGATCAGAACATTTCAAATAAAGTATCGATCGCATGAAGATAAATCTGGAAAGAGAGCACACAGTTGGAATATGGCGATGCCTCTCAAGTCAGCCAAACAGGAACTGAAGCCTCTGCGGAGAGGAGAAATGTATCGCAAGGTGTTGGCAGCAGGGACAGCATCGCAGACCATTTTGAGTGAGGACATCATCAGTTAAGAGCATAGTGAATAAATGCATAAATGACCTTCCACGGTTGGGTTAGGTCATGTTGTTTCAGAGATGTGTAAGACTTGTACTTTAAGTCATTTATGTTACTACCTCTCCAAATTTGGAAGCTTACATAAAAATTTCCAAAATCAAATTTTATTAGCATTTAAGAGCTTTTTGTTTTGGAGACAGGATTTCACTATGTAGTCCAGGCTGGCCTTGTATTACTGTGAAATCGAAGCTGGCCTCAAACTCATGATCTTCCTGCCTTAGGCTTCCAAGTACTGGGATTACAGGTATGCCGCTATACCTGGATTTTAGGAGCATTCTTAGCCCTTGGTAATATATGCTAGCTCTTGTATTACCTCTGCAAGAGTCAGGTTGGCCAGAAGAAACAGAGTCCCTGAAACTGAGGAGCCAGTGACAAACTTCCTTTTGTTTTTGCTGTCTGAGATGCATGAGAGTTTCCTTTCTTCTCTGCTTACTCCCTTTGTCTTAAGCCTGCATTTCTATTTCCTGTACACAGACCTGAGAGGGAATGGTCAGGAGACACTATGGGTGCTAATCCTGATACGTCAACTTCACTGGATTAATTAACAACTAGCAGGTTAGTACAGGGTAGGTCTGGGTGGGTCATGGAGGAGTAACTTTGAGTACTATCTCTGGTCCCTGGCTCTTCTCTTCATTCTTCTCTGGCACTGTTCTCTTGCTTTGCTTCCTGGTCACCGTGAACCAAGCAACTTTGCTCCATCAAGCCCTTCCGCCATGAGGTCTCTTTGCCTTGGAGCCAGCCAATCATGGACAAAAACCCTGAGCAAATTAAACCTCTACTCCTTTACGTTGTGGCTGTAAGGTAAAGTGTCTCAAGACAAGAAGGTAACTAATACACACTGTGACTTGTAACCAAGCAGAAGATACACTTAAGGTGGATGGCTAAGAGTTGAAAGAGAAATCTTGTTAAAGAGAAGCACCATTATTTGGTAACTGGACCTCAATAAAGCTGAGAGGAGACGAAATCAAGAAAAGTGTCTGGTGTGTCTGCAGAGGGAGTCTGCCCAGAGGAAACCTTGGGGAGAATCCTGTGGGCCTTTAACTTCCTCAGCATGGCCCACTGAAAGCACGTGGACCCACATGTGAGCACAGAGGCTCACAGAGAGCATCTCCATGCTATCATGCAGACCAAGTGCTTGGTCACATAAAACGGAAACCAACAAAACACTTCTATATAAAATAGCTAGTTGCAACAACAAATGGCTTTCATTTATTTTCCTTTTGCTTTGCCCCCCACCCCAATTACACAAAGAAAAAAGAATCCAGTAGACCAGAAACATGATGCCTGTTCTCAGGTCATCAAAATAAACATGTGGGGAGGCAGAGGGCTGCCAGGGTACACGTGAGCTGTGGGTTCTTGGTGTCCTCTTGCAACTTCCTGTTTGTATTTCTCACAGGGAAAGCTTCTGCAACGCAGATCACTACTGCAGAGATCGTGGCAGAACACGCTCTTCAATTAGAAACACAAATGAAGAGTGCTAATTGTTAAGTGATGAACGACAAAGTGACACTGGAAGCCCATGAACAAACACTGCCACCCCTACGCCAAAAATTGGAACATTCTAGAGTGATGTCCTCATCATGTGGAAGAGCCTGTGGCCTTGGAGGGGCCTCTGTTCCAGCACAGCATGTTATTTAGAAAAGTGGTACTTATGAAATGAGGGCTTTGAGCCTCTGCTGCAGCCCAGAGAGGAATCGGTGTTGTCTACCCTTGGTGGCAATGGTTCAGTGCACCCCAGAGGCCAAAGCCAACTCCAGAGTGCAGACTGATGGGAAGAAAGCAGAAGCTGTGGAAATGCACTGTGAGGATCCTAGCCTCAGCCGGCCTAGAAGGGCACCTAAATTGTTATGGAGAGGAAAAGGATCCCTCTCATCGCCTGAAAACCACAGTCCAACCAACTCATAAAGTCATGAGCACATGGGAAAGGACAAGAGTCGTTGTCTTCATCAGGGACAAATGAGGCAAAGGGCTCTCATATATGCTGCAGAATGCTCATATATGCTGCAGAATGAAGCCCATCACCTTCTTCTAGCTTATTAGCATTAATCCCTGAGCATGAAAGAAAAGAATGAGGATGAACTACAGCGTGCAAATTCTCAGTCAAATAGGAGTGAAAGGCTGAATCTCCAATTGGCATGAGCTGGGCTGAACCCCAAGTGACTCTCCCTGGGTTCCTGCATCCCCAAAACTGCACAACACATCCACACACACCGCAAAAATATGCTGGGACACGCAGGACATCTTCAGACATCTAAGCTGGTAGTGCACAAGGGTACACACAGTTATCTGAACAGCAGGTACCTTGGGAAGGAAGAAAGGGAGGGAATGGGAACCTTGGATACTTTCAACAGGGCTATAAAATGAAGACTGCTGGGAGGCTGGGCCAGGAGGATCCCAAGTCTGAGCCCAGCCTGGGCAACTAAGTAAGACCCTGTCTCAAAAAAAAAAAAAAAAAAAAAAATAGGGACTGGGATTACATCTAGTGTGGAAGCCCTGGATCCAATTCCCATTACAGAAAAAATGAATGAATGAATGGGATTGAAACAAAGATGATAAAATATCAACTTTAGCCAAATTCAGGAAGTGCGTGTGTATAAATTTATTTTTCTATTTTACTATACACTTGAACTATACTTAATTAAAATTTTCATAAATGTATTTCTATTGAGCTGTACATTTAAAAATGGTTAAAATGACAAACTTTTTGGTATGTGTATTTTACTACAATTAAAAATTTTAAAAACTTTTTGAATGGGTGCTTATGCTTGGCCCTAGACGAGTATAAACAACAGCAGTCTGACAGGAAGAGTCTTTTCCAGCAGAACCCCTCTGGAAGCTGCCCTTCTCCAAGCACTGGGAGACACTGGACAGATCTGACTTCCAAGCAGTGCTAGAGATGGACCTTTTCCTCTCAGTGGATAGCTGAGCTAGAAAACTTTTGAGATCTCCATACAGTGTCAAAGATCTCAATAGATCTGTCTCTCTAGTGCAAAGAAATTTAGTTGACAGAAAGTTACTGTGTTCCTCCAAGTTATCAGTTACTTAGAGGGATTACTTCTGAAATCCAATGAATTTAACGCATTGAATGTAAAATTTTATAACCCTAGGATAAGTCTGGACCCAGACTCTTGGTACTAAGTGGTGCCTCTGAGCCCCTTAAAGCTTTTGTTTTAAAACAATAGGAAATACTACTTTGGTTATCAGGAAAAGTCCAAAGAGTGGTAATGCATAGATCCAACATGGGATTTATGAAGAAGCAAAGAGGATTCTGTAGGGGTGTGTGTGTGTGTGTGTGTGTGTGTGTGTGTGTACTGATCTACATCCCCAGACCTTTTTTCTTTTGAGACAGGGTCTTGCTAAGTTGCTAATTTACCAGGCTAGGCTCAAATTTGCAATCCTCCTGCCTCAGCCTCTGAGAACATTAGGATTATAGATGTGAGCCACCATGCCTGGCCTTCTTAGCATTACGATGAATAAAAATGCCCTCCTTCAAAATGTCCCTGGTACAAATCTCAGGATGTAATTCCAGGACAAGGGGTCTGGGTCAGTATGGCATGAAGCAGACTAGGCCCAGATCCCTGCTCTATACTCGGGAGTTAGCTTTGTTCCTCCTCCATCTGGGTGATGAAGGAAAATGTAGTGGATAGTGGATGTAAATCAGCTATTTTCCATGGTTGAGGAACAGCAAATGAGCTATGTTACAGAGCAGATGTGGTGCAGGAAAACAGGTGAATATTAATTCATAGCAATACAGCTGGTCAGCTATACCAGGCACTGTCCCAGGTCATTTACACACAACATAGCCACAGACCCCAGGGTGTCTCTTAGGAAACTTAAATACAGTACTAGCAACCTAGTCATAAGCAACACCAAGTATGAGACACAATTCCCTCCAAATCTATCCCTGAAGGCCACCTATTTACCTGAGGCTCAGATACTCCTCCAGAACTCCATCATAAAGTTTAAAATGTCATAAAATAAAAATGCATTTAATATCCCAAACTGCTGAGCGCCCTAGCTTAGTTTTACAGGACACTGCGGGGTACAGTTTGTTCACCCTCATGACTGTGATTAGGAACTGCAGCCTGCTGCCCCTGCCCAACATCCTGGGAGAGCATGGTGTCAGGCTGCATATCACTAGCCCAGGAAAAGATCAGGATTCCAAATTGAAAGTGTGGTTTCTGCTGCAGTATGCTTTCACACCACCAGAAAGTCAAAACATCCTAGGTTGGGGATCATCTGTAATGCGTAACTCTATTTTTCCTACCCATTAACCATCGTTTTGGTGTGTCTTTTAGCAACAGAAATGCTATTAGCTACTGATATTCCTGAAGCAAAGCACTTGAAAGAAAATGTATTTGAATTCAGTAACTGGAAAGAATACTACCTTCATGATGAATAATTTCAGGAATGTTTGTGATGTGAGACTGAAGAATAAAGAGCAAGACTGGGTTAATGGGGCAATGGACAGGATCCTTTCTGACAGACTGCATAAAAGCTGTGAGCTCTCTGAATTCTGCTCACACACTGTTAAAACTAAGCTGTCATCTATTTAAGTTTGGAATCCTCTGCTCTACATACTCACTTCAGAGAGACATTTCCTGCTTCTTTAATGGAAACTGATTAATTTCCCTTATGAACCAGCCTATTCAATAAGAAAATACCTCACGCTTTTGAGAAATAACCCTTAGCTGGGCAAGGGTTGATCAGTTCCTTTTGTGCCCAGACCCGAATGACCTGCTGAAGACTACACAGCCCAACAGTCCCAACCATACAGTCCACTGGCTTCTTAAAAAAAAAAGCGGCTCATTCTCAGTCAAATGGTACAGCATTATTTCCAATTATTACCTAGAAACATGCCAGGAAAGCTGTGAGAGCTACCAAATAGTTGTTCTGCTTCCATGTTAACAGAAGTATGTGCATTGGAATTCATGTCCTTGAGCTATCTGGCATAGTATGGAATTGACTTTGGCTTTGGAAGGAGCAAGACTACGTGAGGAACTCCAACGATATAAGCACCTACTGATGGTTTATGAGAGGCCTGCTGGTGACCAAAGACTGTGGCTCATGTAGCAGGGACCCTGTATGCGTGTGTGTGGAGGGACTTACTGTCATATTCCTGTAACAGCTCCACTGCCGTCAAGAGAACAGCTCTGTGCTCTGGGTCTCTGATATTTAGTTCATCCAAGTCTTCCTCTTCCAGGAGCTTGAAGGTGTCCAAGTCTTCATATCCATTGAATAGGAAAGTGGGCATGTGCTCCTGTGAGACACAGAAAGAGGACCAAAGTGCACTAGGGGCCCACCATGCGATACACGGCCAACCACTAGCCTCAGACCCCTCAGCTCTTTCTCCATCATCATTTTTATACTAATCAGAAGATCAGTATCATTCATAATGTATTCTATACCTCCCAGCCCACCAGTTTAGCAGGCAGTCAAACTGTTTTATTAATCATAGGTTAAGAAGATGTACAATGTAGACTGAGGGATTCCACATCATAACTATGCTCTCAAAATGAACTAATTGCCGGGGATTTAGCTCAGTGGTTTCGCCGCCTGCTTCTCAAGTGCAAGGACCTGAGTTCGATCCCTGGTACCAAAAAAAAAAAAAAAAGAACTAATTCCTTTGTCACTACATGGCCCACCAGGGAGAAGGCTCTTTCTTCAATTAGAAAGGTATTAAAAATCCAACTTTGCAGGCCCCTCAAATATCTCAGAGCAAGAGAGTTTTGCAAGGAAGACACATAATCTACCACTGCAGATCCACCTCCCAGATGCATGGAGTCTTGGTGAGAGGGAGACGAGGGGAAGACATCCCATGGCCGCTGTGGAGCTGGCTGTGGGGAAGGCACCAGGGTTTACACTTACAGCCTTTCTTACAGCAAGTTTTGATCAAAGGCTTGTACTACCACCCACAGAGTAGCACAAGGGCGGTATCAGAATACTGGAAACTTCTTCTGTAGGATGGCTACTCATCACACTAATGCCTCACACTTGTTAGATGACATAGATCAACCCCTAGCCTACCCTAAAAATGCCTTCCCTTGCTTAGTTTAGGAGGAAGAGGAACAGGAAGTGAGGAAATGTGTGACAAGGATAAGAAGGGACTGACTTTCAGGTTAATCCGGTCCAGGAGATCCTCCACAGACTTGGGTTGGGGAGGTCTTCCTTTTCTCCTCCTCCTGGTGGGCCGCTTGGGCTTCTCCTCTTCCTCATTTAGCACATCCACATAGATAAACTTGAAGGTGCCGACCTTGTTGTTCAGCAGACCCATCCAGGTCCCCATGGGTGGCTTGCTGATTATGTCAATAATATCTCCTTTCTGTGGCCCAGAACACAGATCATTCCGTTAGGTACATTTTGAAGCATAAAAAGTGAGTCACACAGATGGAAAAATGACAGAATCGGGGTCCCACAAGTGACCTTTCTGAGACATCAATGCAGGACATGACAGGAGTCTGGCAGAACAGGGCAGTTTTGACTGAGCTGGATGCCACATGGGACCAGGTCACAGGCTGCCCTCCTTCTGGCACCTCAGGGCCAGGAGTGCTGTGCTGTCTCCCAGCCTGGCTCTCTAAATACTCTCATCACCCACAGTGTTCCTGCTTCCTAGAGAAAGAATTTCCTACCACTCACAAGTTAGCAGCAATCCCTGCTCTGTGGTCACTTCATTTGTTTTGTGGAACTCCATCTTTAGGTCCCATATAAATTTCTCTGTTCACACACAGAAGGGAGTCATTCATTTGCAGATGGAGAAAGCACAGAAACTGGGATGTGGGGAGCACAGGGGTTCTGGAGGGGAGCTGGGGTCAGAGGACAGGGCCCTGGTGCAGGTAATGATGAGGAAGCGACATGAACCATTCTGTCCTGACCACTGGTCCATCCTCACTTTTGTTTTTGCTAAAGAGACCAGTGGATCAACATGCCCAGTCACAGCTCAGCATCCAAGAGCAGGGAGGGAAGAAACAAAAGAGCCCAGCTGGTCTTCTCTGAGCCAGGGAGAGGCCCACCTTGAGCTTGAGTGAGTCTGTGTCATAGGGACTGGGAGTGAAGTCCGTGTGCACTCGGGCTCGCCCACAGAAGGGGCCCCGGTAGGGCGGCTCCTCGTCGTCGCCGTCTTCTGACTTGACGCTTTCCCTGTTGCTGGTGGAGGAATCAGTAGTGCTGACTGTCTGACCACCTGTGCAGCAGATACGGGAGGGAGGAAGGTAAGTACGGATTTCCTACATGGCACAGCTGAAAGGGACTGATGGGATTGCAGCTCAGGAAAGGAAAGCCCAGTGAACGGGAGCCATGCCCCACAACCTCGTGTCAGAGCCAGAAGGGGGACCACATCTGATTTCCCACTAACTGCTGTTCCCAATCAAGTTCCCGATGGCACAGCACATTACCCTCATGACTCAGGAATCCATGAGACAAGGAGAGTCCCTGAGGAAGACACCACGGTGCCAGGCACTTGCCTTTTCCTTTCACGGTCATGACCTCTTATTTGTACCCTGATGTTACCACATTTCACAGACCAGCAAACACCCTTTAAAAGATTGAGTAACCTTCTCAAGGGTAAGAACTTAGAGCAGTGGATGCCAACTTGACTTTGTCTCCTTTACTATTTGGCCAACACCAACCACACCCCTGGACCTGGAGTAGCTGCACAGCACTCATTACCAGTGACAACTGTAATTCAACCCTCTTTATCTTATCGCTCACCTTTAAGTGCTTTTCCCTTTGGCCTATTCGCCCCTGTTCTCCACATCCTTCCTCTCAGATGCATTCCCTATCTTCCCCAGTCAAAACTAATCACCCTCTGCTGGGCCACTCCTTACAGCCATTACCAAACAAGTGTGACTCTAAGTCCAGGTAATTTGTAGGTCTGGTTCTCTAATAGCACCCTGAGGAAACTCAGTCTTACTGATCATGAACTTGTCCACACATGTCTGATTTTAACCCCAAAGGAAATTATGTACAATTACAAACTAGACTTACTCATCGAGCTCTGCCCACTCAGGGAGCTCCGAAGACTTTCAACAGATCCTCCAGCTTTGAGCTTGGGTTTGTCCATGTGTTCAGAGCCAGGCTGGACAGAGGCAGGGGAGCCAGGCATTCCATCGAGGCCTGAGTCCTGAAAGGGTTAAGGAAATTAAGTCTCACAAGTACACAGGCGTTGTTTTGCAATTCTCAGTAATGTGGGCGTCAACCGCATCCATCAAATTGATCTTCATAGTCATACTTGATTCTAAATCCCATATTCTCTTGTATACCCTATATAATTTTTTAATTTTAAAGCTGTGGCCCATTATTTATTAAACACTCAGAAATTGTTTTTCATGTTCAGATAGATATTTTTGAAATCTGAGGGGAAAAAAAAAATCTGTCTACCACCAAAATCAAATATTTAGTTAAAGGCTTAGGAACTCAGCATACTCAGCAGCCCAGTAACAAAGCTGGACTTCAATGTAGGTCAAGTACAACCTACTATTAATGCAGTATCCAAAGTACTATCCGAGGATATCTAACATACTTTCAAGGGAAACATTTACATCAAAAAAAAAAAAAAAGTTTACTTCTTAAAAAAACAATTGGCCATACTGTCATGTTTCTATTTATCTAAATTATCGACACTGGCCAAGTAATTAACAACTTAAGACCCAGATACATGGCAAAACCATTGCTTTTCAGTCTGTCACAAAATTTGCACATGACACTCTATGGTTCTGCTTCTTTTACTTCTTTCCAGTGCTGCTAGCAAAATGAGCTCCCTTTCCCTGGTTGCTATGAAGTTCCTTTGGATCAGGCTGTTGGTATGATAACTAACTCAGCAGCACTTTTCACTCTGGGGTGGCTAAATGTGATCGGCCCAGCAGCTCCTCCTTCCCCCATCTGTACAGAGTACTTCTTGGGCCAGTGGGGCTGGGGCAATTGGACAACATCACAGTGTGCAGCGGCAAGCGTTTACATGGAACCACAGAAAGTCTCTGGCATAGCACTGAGCATGCAAATACAGAGCCATCTAAACAAAACCTGGTATTTACACAGTGTCACATCATCAGAAGGGATTTCCTACGATTCTGCTGGCCCCTCAGATGTTTAAGGACAACTGCAGCAGCAGGTTCTGATTCGACACTTGCTTGTGCTTTACGTGGAAGGCAAGTGAGCAAACCACACCTCAAGAGCAAGGACTAGAAATCAAGTTGCCATGATCACAGAAGTTATTGGAGCTGTGAATCGATGCAGCTCCTGAATCGAGTTTCATTCCTCCTTTCTGAATCCTAAAACAAGTGATCTTTCCAATTAAAAAATCTTTTCTAATGCTTCTTGGAAAAGTATATGATTTGAAACACAGGAAAATTAAATGTCCATCTTGGTATTATATGTTCAATAATGCTTTTTAAATTACTAATTTATTCATCATCTCTTTAGGAATAATCTACCAGAAAAGGTACCATTCTAGGTGCTAGGCATATACCAGAAGAAAAACCCCAAATCCCTACCATGAGAGAAACACATCTTACTCCAGAAAGGATGGCTATCATCAAGAAATCAAATAACAAGAGCGGCAAGAATGCAGGGGAAAAGGAACCCTTCTACACTGTTGGTGAGAAAGTAAACTAGTATAGCCACTAAGGAAAACAGTATGGAGAGTCCTCAAAAAATTAAAACTAGAAATTCCATTTAACCCAGTTACTCCTCCTCTAGGTATCTTTTTGAAAGAGTTAAAGCCATCATATTACAGTGATACATGTGTACCCATGTTTATAGCAGCACAATTCCCAATAGCTGAATCTTGGCACTAGCCTATATGTCCATCAACAGATGAATGGATAAAGAAAATGTGGTATTTACACATAGTAAAGTACTACCCTGCTATGAAGAAATTTAAACTTGAGTCATTTGCAGGAAAATGGATGCAGTTTGAGACCACAATGTTAAGTGAAATCAGACACACAAGCTTCAATATCACATGGTTTCTCTCAGAAAAGAAATCCAAATTATAAATAAGGAGCAAAATAAAAGGTAGATAATAGGAAGTACAGAGATAGATCTTTCTTAAATGGGAAGAGGATCAAGAGATAGAAAGAGAAGGAAAGGGGATGAAAAAAGAAATTAAAATGTGTTATGTACATGTACCAACTCCACACAAGGAATGTAAATATTATGTACTGCAAACATGTACTAAAAAAAAGGCAGAGAACTATAATACAAGTTTGCTATGTGGTAGCAAAATAGTATGAAACTGCTACAAGTGACATCAAAATTCTATGCTCACAATCCATAAAGCAGAAAACCTCTAAGAACATGAGCTTATAGGAGCTTTTCAGTGGATGTTTCAATTCTGGGGATTAGATCAAGAAAATGAAGTGCTTTAAATGAGCGGCATTACTTTCCCTGACAGACTGCAGTTTGCCTCATTGTTGGATAGAAACACAGAATCCCTCACTCACTCACAGGGACAAGAAAGTAAACAGAGTAAGGGTAGGGCCTGGGGATTTAGCTCAATGGCACCGCGCCTGCCTCACACAAGGACCTGAGTTTGATCCCCAGTACTTAAAAAAAAAAAAAAAAAAGAATAAGTAAGTAAAAACTATGGAGAAGACACATTGAAGACAGCCCTGGCTTTCCCTTTAGGTCTGATAAGCCGAGGATTCTAGGCCTCAGCACTGTGGGCATTTTGGACCATCATACTTTGGCGTGGGGCCACATATGAATGCTACCATGTTTACAGCATTCTGGGCTTCTACCAACTAAATTCCAGTAGCACCCACATCACTCTACCAAATCCAGTGTGACTATTGAAAATATCCCCAAACATTGCCCAGGGGTGGATAGGACAGCAAATAACTCCCAGTCTTACAGTGATAACCACCATCATAAAGATGTGCAGGCTATGTCTGAACCCAAACGCAGGTGGCTGGCTGGTAGGTGTTCACAGTGACTCCAACAGGAAGATGCATGGTGTTTAGCTCACTATGCCCACCAGAGGGCAGCAGCAGAGAAAAAATGTCTGCTTTCCCTGCTTTTTACTGTACAGTATTTTGTCCATGAACCAGCATCCCTACATATTTTATGTAGTCAGCCAGCTCACATACGCGTATTTTAAACAGGCTGCAAAATGAGTATCCTAAGGATGTCAGAGGAGAAGGTTTTGAAATCCAGCGGTCAAAATTATCTAAAGGCTCAATTCTCCAAGTGATTTTATTCCTTCCACCAATTCAATTAAGACAGAAACTGGTAATGATGCTAACAATACATTTTTTTAAATAAATAGAACAGGAATTCTGTGATATCTTAATGGGCACAGTTAGTAAAAGCAACCCCGAGGAAACCAGGCAGCTATCAAAGTCTGGTAACCAGGAAATACTTTCTGAATTTGCTTCTCACACCTGCTATGTCCTTCGAAAATAACTTAGGTTACATTCAAAAAGCCTACTGTCCAAGGGCACTTCTTTAGCTTGGATTCTGCTGACAGTCTGTAGCAAGAGTATTCAAGGAACTCCTTTGCGTTCAAACTTACAGTGCTTATTGCACTAGTGAATCACCATTTCTTCCCATGGCTGTCTCTCTTGTCTGAATACAGAAAACAGGGTCTGTGTTTTGTATTCCCAGCACTAAACACAGTGCTTAATTTGTGCTTCTAGAATTGAATGTTTGTCTATATAAACAAAGCATGGTGCTAGAGTAGGTTAATAATATACACACTTGGCACCATTTGTAATCTCAGATGATCATCCTCCGCTTCCTGGGGGGAGCCGAAGGGGCTTTCTGATAGGCAGCCACATACCTGCTCAGAGACCGAGCTATTGTATTTCTTAGACATTCTCTTCCGCATTGTCTCTTTCACTGATTTCACCTTTCTTCCGAGAGATATGCGAGAGACAGTGGGTGATTTGATGACTTCTTTGTACACAAAATCTCCTTCCTTTCCCTGTGAAATAAAATGTTGTAAATACCTTCAGTCACAGAAAATGAAGCTCAGGAACAGAGGTCTTATTATCCAAACCATTAACGGCCACACTCTCAGAAAAATATTAGCATTCCCCAGGACCATGACATTTTTCTTATGTTAAGTCAGTGCTGTGCCATTTATCTTTTTGATTAGAAATTAAAATTGACTATAAGGCCTTTTGTTTGTCTGAAGTGGGATGTGAGTCACTTTTTACTTTAATCTTAGTACATTCTTCTTCATTTATGTTTTTTCCACTGTTTTCAACACCCAAGGGGCCTGCCCTTAATCAGTAAGAGTGACTACATGCACCAGTGTTCGATTGAGCCCAGCAGTGGGGAGAAGAGAGGGTGATACCAATGAGTCACCCCGGGAAAGTGCCAGCACCATCGCTGGAGGAAGCTGAGGCAGGAGAGCCCCAGCATTGGACTGGATTTTATCACTATGATGCTCATTGCAGTCAACTCCTAAGAGTGGAAAAGTTTCTTTCCCTGGAAAAGCCAGACCATGACCACCTCTCATTCTATTTCGCATTTAAAAACAAAATTTCCTCTGAGAAAGGAGGGGGAAAAGTCCTCATTTTTTAAAAGAAAAAGCCACCTGCAATTATTGGTTTGTGAATCAATAAAACTTGTTACCAAATGAAATAATCTACATCTTCCAGGATTTTCTGAAGTAGTCTGTATCTCACAGATGGGAATTTTAGCTGACACAGGATTGTGACAGATACAGTTTCATGGCAAAATACATATAGGATGTGGGCCGGGGATTTAGCTCAGTGGTTTCGCCACCTGCTACGCAAGCACAAGGACCCAAGTTCAATCTCCAGTACCAAAAAAAAAAAAAAATACATATAGGATGAGCAAAACTGCAGGTGAAATTCATCTACATCCCTGAGACCTTCGAGAACCTCAGGGAACAGATCCGTGGACCACAATGACAAGCTGGCCCCAGCCTGCAGTCCAGAAGCAGCCTGAGGAGGCAGTGAGCTTGGCCCTTCAGAATCTGAATTAATTCCAGGACACTCTCATGGCATGTACTGGGCCCACAGGAAGACCAGTCTTTAGAGATGCTAGCACATGCTTGTGGTACCCACACAAGGCTCCATCTGCTTGCACTACATATATGCAACTAGTGTGACGAAAAGGAGTGAGGACACAAATGACTAAGACCACGGAAGCCAAACTCATCCAGATTTGTCACTTGAAGAAAACTAGAAGGAAAGTCACTAAAAGAATTGTGCTACTTCAAGGAAAGATGGAGGCCAGAGGTGGTGGTCATTCCTTCCACACAGAACAGTAAAACATCTTTAAAAGGACTTCTTTCCAAATATAATTTAGGGTCACTGAGGAAAACAACTATTAATTCTCAAAGGTACTAAATGGAAGCTACTGTCAATCACAGCGTGTAAGCTGACATCTGTTGCTTTCCTCTGGCATCTACTCACCACTGGATCAGAACTGTTACTGCCAACGTGCAGGGAGCGATTGGTCAGGTCAAATCCTCCAAAACTGCAAGTTCTCTGCAGAGAGCAAAGGTCAGAGCAGGAAGAACCCAGTTATTCTTAAGTCAGCCAGCTGCACACAACCCAACACATGTGCCCTGTGCAGGCCATCTCTGAATCACAAGACATGTACGTGATGAATGCAGGAAAACGAGAAATGAGAGGGGAAACCCACATGATTCATGGCATACGGTAACTTCACTTACGTTGCCGTTCACAGACCACTGACACTCTGCCTTCACCAGAGGTCTAGGATCCTCTTAATGTGCATAAAACAACCAGTTTTTAAAATACAAAGGAAAAAAAGAAAAAAATTCTACAAATTTAGTGCTATCGCATAAAATTTTCCTTCAACGTTCATTAACAGCAGCTGTAGACAGTAGTGATGATAAAGGGTCATCAATCAGTGGTCCTGGAAACCCAGGCCTGACGGCCACTGCTTCACTACTGAGAGCAGGCTTTTTCTAAAAGACTTTTGTTTTGTTTAGTTTTAAGTCATTGAGAAGGGGGAAAAGAGGTTATGTTTATTGCAGTCCAATCAGTCCAAGAGGATTACTCACTCATTGCTATTCCATCCTAGCCAAAATTGCTGATAACTTCATCTAACTGCCCCACTTAATTATCACCTCTTTTTCTCACAGTGGATAAAGTGAAGGCACCACATTTGCCCAGAAAGAGAAAGGCAGATTGAGTGTGGTCTTTCACCACATTCTTTAATTTCAGTAGGAAAGATGCTGAAGTCATAAAAATGGATGAATATTTTATTGTCCTTTCAGTTGGTTTTATACTCTATGGAACTCCTTATATTTCAGTGATTTTATATTTCCAGAACTTGGACTGAATTTCTGTTATTTTTCTAGCAAAAGCCACTCTTGTTCCCAAATGACTACTCTTGTCCCCTCCCCACACCCCCCTTAGTGATCTTTTTCAAGCCATTGGTGATAAAAATTGAGTACCAGATTTGGGCTCCAATATTTCTTATTACCTTTTTCTCAGAGAACCTGAGTTAACAGCTATTAAATGGAAGCATAAACAGAAAAATCATAATGCATATTATATACATTGGTTATTTAACATAAATATACTTTAGACATATGGTGTATAATTAAAAATATGGTGTCTCTTTTGTGTCTTCACCAGATGTGCTAAAAAAATAGTGAATTCTGCTGCTGAATACCGTCCATTACAGAGGCAGGCTCATAAAGATATTACAGTGCCCTCATCCACTTTATTCACTGGATCTGGCACCAGATTTCTGGCTCTTGGCTAAAGTCAAAATGACCATGAAAGTTAAGTGTTTTGGATTGACTCAGGACCTTAACACACCCATGATAGTGCAGCTAAAGATACTCATGAAAGAGGACTTCCAGAACTGCTGCAGAAAGTGGCAAGAATGATGGGATAAGTGTGTTTGAAGAAAGGGTATTTTGAAAAAGATAAATGGTAATGTGCCTTTTATGGTAATAATTTTTTTTTAATTTAAACATTCACTGTATGTTTTGATCATACCTCATATATTAACTTACTGCACTGAGAAAGCACAAGCATCCTGGGAAGAAAACAACTAGGTTTTTGAAGTGCACAAAGCAAATGAAAGTTCTGGTTCTGCCATTTATGTGCTGTGTGATCACAGGTTCAGTACTAAACTCTCTGAGCTTTGGATTCTGCATAAATGAAATAATATCTACATTATCTATTTGAAGATTGCTAGTACATTGCCTGGTATGAAGCAGACGCTCCATGACTATTGGTTTCTTCTATTACTTTTCATTATGGCTATGCTGAGAACTTAGTAGCTCATCCAGACAACTGTTATATTTAAGTCTAGGCTTAGACAGTATTATGAATATGCAATGGAGAGCTGAAGTTTGGCTCTGGGATTTACCATCTAGAAGCTCAATTATAAAACCAGAGCACCACAGGAGAAGTGGCAGCTGTGGCACAACACAGGGCCAGGAGAAGAAAAAGGAAGGCATTCAGGGACAACCAACACTCAGGGTGTCACCAAGCTGTTCTGCTTTATTGGCACTACTGCTGCCATTTTAAAGAAGCTACTATTGACTGGTTTTCCAGTGGATGTGACCTTAACTTTATGTTCAATTTCAACGGACAATTTAGTTTCCTTTATGTCAACTTAAGTAGACTTTGGCTAGTCCATAAAAAGAGAAACACCTCTCTGCAAAACACCACGTCATCTAACTGATGTGCAACAGTATGACCATGTCTCAAGATAAAACTTGGGCCAGGGATTTAGCTCAGTGGCACCGCGCCTGCCTTGCAACTGGCAAGGTCCTGAGTTTGATCCCTGGTACCAAAAAAAAAAAAAAAGATAAAACTTAACATTAACTTTCCTTTTCTAGCTAATAATGCCAAACAAGTTTTCTCATTTATGCAAAGGCAGTGACTTTATTCTAGTTCCTTTCCTATGACTCACGGCTTCCTAGACACAGTATGGCACACAGATGCCTGACTGCTTTATGATTTTTCATGTCCCTGCTTTACATGACATCTCCTGCAGTGCTGGAACCCAGTACACTATTTCTGATGCATATGGAACAACCAACAAAGAATTTATGTGGGAATTATGACTGCAATGAATTAGAAGCTCATTTAAGTTTTCATATGTCCACTGTATTCATTTAGACCTAAAATAAAAGGCTTAAAATGAAGAGTGGGTTGATTTTCTCCACTATCAACTAAAATCTTTCCCAGGGATATGCTAAAATATTTGGAATTGATTCTTTTTATCAGTGAGAATTGATAAAGAATATAACAATAAAGATTGCTTGAACGATTATCCATCTTCTCATAAGATCAAAAGTAGCTCTGGAAACACCACCCCTTGAGAAGAAAAAATGGAAAGAGTATTCATTAAAAAAAAATAATAAACCAATCTTTGACTTTGGTGACCTATATAAATGAAGCATAAGTGAAAAAAATTGAAATTCATACATCTCTTGCATAGATAATTATAAAAACATTTTAGACAGATGCTTGGGATAAGGAGAGCTAGTCAATGGGATGGGCATGCAGCGGAAAACATGTTTTGGGAGGTTGAATTTCAAAATGGACAAAATTGCAAAATGTCATGCATGTCTGTTCTCCCAAACAAAAATTGAATGATTAAATTAAAAGCAAGGCACATGATCATTTTCAGTAAATACAAAGCATTATCATTTCCCTGAAGTTTCATCAAGCAAATATGGCATTTTTGAAAGACAAAAAGATCAAGGTTGCAGATTAAAGGAAACTGCACATTTTGGGATAAAATAAAGGAAATATATGATGAGGAGAATGGAAAAGAACTTTCTAAATAAAAGATTCAAAGAATTAAGATTAATCCTTTACTAAAACAAAGCTCTAGGGCTGAGTATAGCTCAGTGGTAGTATTTAATGAGCATGCAGAAAGTTCTGGGTTCCATCCCTAACACCAAAACGAAAAAAAAACCCAAAACAAAAAACCCTAAAAAGCAGCTCTATTAATAAACACTTACTTTATCTTGCATTCTCCAGATACTCAGAAAATTAAAATTTATTTTCTTGATTACACAATTTTAATTACAAGATAGGCTCTGTGCAAATTTGTAGTTTTGCATTGAACACACATTTTAGCAAATAATAAAACCATCCGGGACTGCCTCAAGCTCGTAGCATCTTTAAAGTATCCAAACTGACTGATTCTTGGGGCAGAGATTACAAAGTACCATCTTTGGGGAAGCAGAAGGTCACGGGGCCTGCTGCTCAGAAACGAGCTGGCTCAGATGTTCATCCTCAATGTCAGTGAAGAATTCATCACTGGGCCACAGTGTCAATGAACACAAATCTCAGAGATACAACTTCCTGAGACAGTCCCGATGAAGTTATATTATTAATCCAGCAATAAATAGCATGAGGGGCCCATGAGCAACTCAAGCTGCTCGAACTGGATAGATTCTCAGTGTGTTACATGATTTAAACACACAGAGATGAGTTGTCACTTAACAAGGAAGTGGTTCTATTCTATTAAGTTCATGCCAAAAGGTTCAAAGGAAGATAAACTGGGTATAACAACTCGGGAGATTAAAAGAAATTCTCTTGAGACTGGTACTTTACAAAAGATCTGTGCATCAGAGCAGACCAGAGGCTGAATGAGTGACAAAGAGAATTCTGTCATTTCAAAGCAAAAATAAAACCAACAAAAACAAATGTCATGATGTAGAGAGAGCCAGAAGAAAATTTTTTGCCACAGACAAGTATTTATAAAAGTGTGGCCAGAATCATAAATGTGAAAAGACAGAGAATAGAATCACAGAAGAAAGTCAATGCATGTGGGAATATTCAGAAAACCCAAGGGCTAGGTAGCACCAATGGTCCTTTTGGGAATAAGAGAAGGTTATTTTAAGGATGGCATTGACCCATCAGTCTTTGTTTCCAGAAAAGCAGAACTTGACTGGATGAATTTAAATTACAGGAATCATCAGGGGAAGAACATCCTATTCATGAATGCAAAGAACCCTGGGAAAAGCCACTATGGAAGCATATTCTGTTCTAAAGCTCCTTTCAGGCCTTTCAAAGGGGCCCCCAGCCAGCAACACCCCCGGGGGGGTGGGGAGCAAGGTGCCAGAGGAGAGCAGTGCCAGCTCCTCCACTCTGCACCACTTTACTGGGCTATTGTGCAAGCTAAAAGTTAGGTGGGAATCTCAAGGGGAAAGAGGCTATATTCTGCAGTTCAAAATATGTTACACCCTGAAAAAACAATTTTTTGCCCAATCTCTCTGATCTTTCGGTATTAAAACTGGAAAACATTTTATTTTTTGGAAGGACTTTATTTCCTGCAATGTATAGAAAACTCAGGGTGATGGTAGAGGACATTACCAAATGTTGATCCCTCTATTTAAAAAGCTAAGAACATCGAAGAGACATAGGTAAAACAAAAGAGCTCTAATTTATTTTTTCCCTGTTAGAGTTCAGAATTTCCCATTTGCCCCTACTAATAAAAGAAAGGTATTTCACTGCTTCCCAATCCCCAAGCCAGGGCGGCAGAGATGTAAGCTTTCCATGTGCTCCTTCCTATTGTTTTAATTAACTGAAAGAACAAGCGTCTCTTTTAAGAGTGAACTGCTTTAGGGCTGGGGATTTAGCTCAGTGGTTTCGCCGCCTGCTGCACAAGCTCAAGGACCCGAGTTTGATCCCCAGTACCAAAAAAAAAAAGAGTGAACTGCTGAACTACTTTGAATCAGCTCCTTTGAGATCAAGTGACCTGGTGGCTGGCAATCAAGACACCACTCCTAGAGGTGGCCAAACCCTAGCCCTGTACCCTGGAAGCCCCTCTCTGGATCAGCTTCAATGTTTAGCTTTGATTAAAATATCGGACAGCTTCCACTGGCAAGGGAAAAAGAGAAAAAAAGGAGAAAGGCACTACTAAGTGAGCGTAGGGTTAGGTATTTAAGGTGATGATAGAATGGACCCTAAAGGGATAAGGCGAAGAGAGGGAAGGAAAGCAGGCTCCGCAGAAGAAAGGCCATGATGCTTGACTGGACATCACAGAAATGACAAGGCCATCCTCATGACCGTCTTGGTGACTCACAGACTTCTGGTGGATTCTCAAGAGAACCCTTTTAGTACAGCGGTCCACTGTGGCAGCCCACTTCCTCTTTGCCTCCTCATCCTCCTCCAGCAAGCACCGCCTCAGGTCCTGCTTCTCGGCCTTGCTCAGGGTTCTGTCTGAGGCAGGACGCACTAGCTGGGTCAGGTTCAGGTGGCTGTAGAGACTCCGCTCCACCACGTAGGTGACATTGAACTCGCTGACCGAGGCGCGCCCGCGTGCCCTCCTGCCTGGGAAGCTGCAGCTGCCTCCCCCTTTGGCCTTCTGCCGGGGTAGTGGCAGGTCACATGTGGTGCCGTTCACTCCTTTTCTGGAGGGACGCTGGCAGAGAAAAGCTCTGGAACAGGAATAATTAGTATCCGTTTTCTTCAAGCGGATTTGCTTGCGGACACTCTGAACCTCCTCCAGGGACACCAGGAAGTGGTGCCTACGGCGATGGTTGTCGTAGAAGAAAACACCATCCGTACTTACCCCGTGGCTCAGGGACCCGAGGCTCTTTTTCATCTCCCCCTCCGTGAGAGAGCGGGACACTTTCTGGGCTTTGTCTTCTTCTGGATAGGAGAAGAATGTCCCCATCTTCTTAGGGGGCTTAATCAGACCCCGACTCTCTCCTTTGCTGAAGGTTTTGACCAACTTCCGGCCAGCTCCCCAGGTATCCAGGCTGCTGGATGATGGAGATGTGGTGAGTGAGTCAGTGTCATCTTCAGGAGGTTTTTCAGCAGACCCATCGATGAAAAAAGGCTTCTTGTGTACTCCAGAGTAAAGGGCAGCCCTTTCATCCAAGACCGGAGGATTTTCAAACATGTGCTCCTCCCCACCTGGAGGGAACCAAGAGAGTTCTCCAGTGAGTGAACCTTTCCATTCTCCCACAAAATTTTCTTTACATCCTCTGTTCTGAAAAACATCAGGCAAGTCATGCAGAAATGACAGTGCCCTCCCTCTGCATATCATGAACCTCTTCATAAACATGGCTCCCACTTAAATGAGTGTATAACAAAGAAATAATCCAACTGCAAATGTATGTTTCATGTAAACAATATTAAGATTGTGATGTGTTTGCTTCTCCTTCTGTAAATAGCACTGTAAACCTAGTACCTTCAAAGACCTATTTAAAATAGCATTTGCAAAGTGGAAGCCAGTCATTATCATAATATGCCTTAGCTCCAGTTTCTAAGTGCAATCTGGAGAAGCTAGGAATTAGTCTTCTCTCTTCTGAAAGGCCTTCCTTTATGTTGGCTCTGGTGGCTTTTTATAGTTGGTGTGTGATGGATGCTATGTGGCTGACAGTGATTTTTTTTATTAGCACATATGCCATTTAAGTGATTAAATCTCCAAGAGAGTGTGGGCGGAGAAACACCATAAAGGGTTAATGTCTTGCAAATGCATCTGACAAATGGTCTCCAGTAGATAGGCCAAACACAAAAAGTGAGGGAACTGGGTGATTCCTGCCAGATATTCCCACCAACTCAGGACCTGCCTAAAACAGCAAGGGCATTTAAGGGCCCTGACACGCAGGCAGCTCCATGGAGGGCTCCACTTCGTCTCAAGGATTCCAACTCTTGAAGCCCTCACTGGGACCAGGTAGCAAGCCAAGCCCTCCAGAGCCCAGTGGAAAGGCTTGGACTTGCTGGCAGGCATACTGAGTTCTTTTCTGCCTGTGTTATGTGAACAGATGTGAGAAAAGAAGTAGGTCACGCTGTGGGTGTAGTGATCCCAACTGGCTTCTTCCCTTTAATTATAAGGAAACTTTGGAGCTTTGCAGCTTTCTACCAGCTGAATAGTGAAGAGGAAAAAATACAAAGTTCCCTGGAACAGAAAGACAGCATTAAATATACCAGCTGGAACAGGGGTGTCAGTGCATGGGTAAATGTCAGAGAGAAAGGCAGAGAGACGCTCAATTCAGAAGGGACAAGGTGATCGGAATAATAGCAGTTCTTTAAAATTCTACAACTCACTCCCTTTTCCATTTGATGAGAACTACAGTTAAAAACATACATTAAAAAAAGAAACTGCTGCTATTAATCCAATCAAGGACCAACTTTATATTCAGGTCCAGGAAACAGTGATGGGAGAGGGAGGGAAGTGGAGGACATTCCACACTGTGTCTATCCCGAAGTGCATTCAAGACTTGCACAGGGATCTTTTAGGAGCATTTCAAAGCAGGGTCCAAGGTCAGACACGATTTGACCAGGGCATGTGAGCAAGTATCATGGGAGCTTCCTACTCCCTCCTTGGATCACTGAAAATGGTATGGAGAGGTAAAGTCCTTGTGTTGTTACAAGTAAACCTAGCACCCTCTCCTAGAGTGCCAGAGGGAAACGCCCTCCACTTCTAGGAAGAAGTGACTGGGTCAAGGCCTGAGGCGCAGCCTGACAGCAATCTGTATTAAAGCAGTCAAGCATGGCCACGACCTATGCCAAGCTAGGTGTCTCTGAGGACATACGAAGACCCTTGTCCACCCACTGTCCTGAGGTGCTTCCGGGAGGCCTGGTAGAGCCATGCTGGATACTCTAAGGGCCTGTCGCTCAGCCATGGTCCGGATGGTTTCTAGACTGTGGGGCTGTCGTCAGAGATTCCAATACCTCTGTACTGAGTTATATACGAGTCTGGTATCAGCTGGGGCACACATGTTCACAACATATGTGACTCTATATTTTCTAGTTCTGGAAAGTCAGTGCCTGGTAAGGAGTAAGAGACTGTGCCAGGCTGTGCCGAGCCCATGCTGAGGACAGGCCATGCATAGTACAGGCTTTTCTGTTGGTGTCTGACCAGCTGCCTGGGCTTCCAGCCTTCTCCTGAACACCTGGGACTCAGAGCATTGTTTCCCCCGTCTTCTTTGGCCTCAAAGACATAACTCTCCCACTGGAGGGACAGCCAAGATATGCTTACTCCATCACACTGTGTGAAATCAGTTTCACGGGAAACCTTTATTTTACCATATGCAGCTGGGATCACAATACTGAAGGAAAGGTGACTCTGACCAGAGGAAGGGTGATGACTTAATGCCCAAAACACAGCTTTGCACTCTGGATTCCAGCCCTGGCTCTGCCCCTCACCAGCTCCATGACCTTGGAAAACTACTTCTGCCTCTGAGCTTCATCTGTAAATGTGCCTACTTATCTTTATATAACATCCCCCAACGTGGCTATTTCAAGGGTGACACTTAATGCAAAGAGCCAGGTGAAGGTTCTTTCTAAGCTGAAGAGCACTGCGTAAGAGATGGTGGTTCTTATTGGGTTAGATGAGCTGGTGCAATCAGAGAAGTGTACGTTCTGGGGACAAAGCCCAGAAGTAGGCAGGTGCAGAGAGCTGACACAGCCTGTGTTACCTATAGCCCAGGTTTGCTGTGCTGGATACAGACTCGAAACTCAGGGGAGAAGGGTGAGGTTGGGTGAAGAACTATTACGGTCCTGGCCTTCAAGTAGACACAGGATGTCCTAGAATAGTCAGGCTGCCCGGATGGGATTCTGGGCCTTCTGCCGGCTGGATGAGTGACATCAAGTAAATTACTTTTTTTCTTTGTGCCTGTTTCCTTACTTGTGAATGAAGATGGAGGAAGTGGCTGCCACTGGTAGGTATTCTGAGGATGGCATATTAAAAGGGAACATAAAACCTAAAGTGTTTAGGAAAGTGTCTGGCACATAGAATACGCTCAATAAATGGTAATTATTATTCAGACAACTTAGTTGGGCATAGCCTTGCAGGAAGTCAATCCCAGAATCAAATCTCTGTGAGTCCAAGGGCACTGGGGAAGAGGGCTTACTGGGACTATGAATCCTGACAGCTGAAGCAAGTCTCTCCCACTTACTAGGTCTTTTGACAATGAAGAACCTCAGAGAATTCCTTCATACAGGGGCTGAAGGAGTAATAGTCTAGCAGGGTATCCAGGCACAGCACAAAACAGACACCCTGAGCTACACACACCTGGGGACAAGCTGGCCGCTGGCAGCCCAGCTCCAGCTCATCAGATGCTGGAGTTTGGCCTGCAGCTTGAGCTCAATCGAGTCCATTTTCCGCCCATGACGCGTAATTCACCTCCAAAATCTATTGATTACTTTTTACTCTTAAGTTATCTCTTTTGTTATATTTTTCCTTTTTTTTTTTCCAAGGAGGCCTCTCAGGGATATCGGGATCAATTTATTCTGCCATAAATATGCAAATTAGGGTATTTCTGTATGTTTACAGTGCTACTCTTGAGCAAAGGCTGTCCTGGCACACTTGACTATCACTTGTGAAGGGTCTACTAGGCAGGGGGCCCAATGCTGGGTACTTCTCCCATTTTATCTCATTTATAGACAGAGCCCACCAATCTACTTGTTGTAGCTGAGATTTGATTTTGGCAAGTGTGCATGAAGTTTGTTTTCAAATGTGCACTCAAGGATGAATGCTGGCAATTCGATGTGGTTCTTCCAACAGTTCCAACTGGCACTGTGTGCATGATTTCAGTTAAGAGCTGACACACAGGAGAAAATCAGAGCGCATTCTGCAATATGGATAGCATGAGTGACAGACAGGTATTAATACAAATGTAAAATTACTGCACTCAAATATAAACCAAATTACCCTGCAACAAGACATCCAAATGCAGCCCTGGAATTAAAACAACTGCAAGTTTATGAAATAAGCCATAAAGCTCAACTCATCTCACCAGCCCCCTTTTTTCCTTTTAACCCCCATTGCTCCTGTCACCTTTTCACCTTCAGTAGTATTCTAGAAGATTTAAATCAATCAATAATTACAAATACAATTAGAAGGTGTTAATAATAACCAAAACTCTTATCTTTGCAAATGAGGGGAAATTCAGTTCCCCCACACAGCTTGGTTTTACTTATAAAGAATAAAAAGGCCTCTACAAAAATAATTTTAATATCTGCAAGTTAAAATTCTGAAATTCCTCACAATGAAGATGTGACACTTTAACAAATGATGTGCTTTTTAAAAAAAAAAATTTTAAAGGTACAGTCTTTCCAATATTTTTTTCTAATTTGCTTATTATTCTCATTTTCTAAACAGGTGGATGTTATTCTTTTTGTTGATCTTTTCTGGGAGAATTTTACAAGATGCTTCAAATACATATTACTGAAAAGAGAGAAAAATAAGGTTGGGATTTAAAATGTCATAATTACAATTCCAAGATTAGCTATTCAATACAATGAATCCCAGCTGTTGTCTCTTTCGTTTCATTATTATTGTTTCATCTTTGCAGCCAGCAATATAGCTATTAAAGATTCTCTTAGAATTGGAAGTCCTTAAAGCCACATTTGAATTGAGACTAGAGATTGTTCATGAAAGAACAAAGCATCCTTCAAGGATTTGAAGGGATATTAAGTACGTTGACTGTGACAGGTTTGTTCGAGATGGATATCAAATGCATGGACATCCTGCATATTAAATTCACACTAAATTGGGGCCGGGGATTTAGCTCAGTGGTTTCACCGCCTGCTGCGCAAGCACAAGGACCCGAGTTCGATCCCCGGTACCAAAAAAAAAAGTTTCACACTAAATTCACTGAACAAGGACTACAGTCCTTTTCAGAGTTACAGGCTTATGCTAAGAAGTTATAACATTTACATAAAATAGTACAAGCTCATAATTTAAGCTGTAACACACTTTGAGATTTCGCTGTCACATACTAGCCATTTCCCATCTTTGTCACATGTAAATTACCAAGCACCCAAAACATTTGACACCAGGGTCCTTCATTTCATAACACACTAAAGCATCCCAGTGCTAATGGACTGACACAGTCCCATCGGCCTCTGCCAAAACTCAATACATTTTCCACTTGAAATCATGTCCATTTTCTTCTGAAAAACTGACCCCAAGTGATTTCTTTTGGAATAACCAGGGTGGAGTTGCTTTTTTTTTTTTTACCTTCAGTGCTGGGCTTTTTCATTTCTTCCACCCTAATTAGTTTCTTTCGGACTCTGCGAGTGGAGTTCACCAGCTTGTGTAACCTCTTAAACTTCACCGACTCCTCGGTCTCATCATCCGATTGTTCTCTTGACTGGCAAAGAAACAGAGGAAAAGTTAATCAGGAAACTGCTTCAAGCCTTGCCCTTGCAGCTGGGTGCAGCTGGCCTCTCTGCCAGTTTGAACCTCACTCAGCACTTGGGTCAATGAACTTGGGCCACCAACATATTTGCTCAACAGGTTTACAATGCTTCCATACCATCCTAAGGTCCAATTCAGTGCAGAATTAAGTTCTAGGCACAAAAAGCACATCTTTGCCTTTGGCTGGCATGTGGGAATTTGTCACACCCCACTATGCCCCTAAATCTTTTAAGACAACTCTCTCTGCAAGACTCTGAGCTGGCCCTGTCGTTCCAGTTACACAGCTGTGGTTTGGGCCAGGCTCTCCTCTGTCTGGATATTGAACGTGGTCATCAACTACTTCTCCAAACCAAAATTCTATTGACTTTTTCCAGGCCTCTACTCAAAATCAAAACCAGCAGGCAGGAAAGGCAAAAAGATACAAAAAAGGCTTCTCCTGCCCCATTTGTTAGGACTGCCTGCCACATCACAGCCTTCCCTTCCCTAGCTTCTTCGGAGGGCTCCCAAGGCGAGTGTGAGGACAGCCCCACATTCCTTCAATAGGGACAAGGGAAAAAGCTGACCTTTCAGCCATACAGTACAGTCCATATTCCCTAGCATCCCATTCCATTCTGCAGCAACTCAAGTATGCTCTGGCCCAGCTGTTTTCCCTCAAGTATCAAACATTACAGAGAGAAAAAAAAATTCTCTCTCTGCAGCAGTGACCCAGGCTAAAAACAATCCTTTCCTTGTGAACAAAATGAGGGTTTCATTTCCAAGTCAGCTCCAACATACAATATGCAGCTTCCTCTGGCGTATCTGTGCAAAATGTGGAAAAGCAAAAGAAGCTTCCTCCTAAATGTGCATGCTGCTCAGGGGCTGGGTGGTTGGCCAAATGTTATGGGAGCGCGCAATTCTGGCACACCCTGTGCAGCCGTGAGCACTTCCAGCTGATCCTGCACATCCCAACAACCTCTCTCCATGTCCTCAAGCCTAGTTCACGAAATTAGCAGGGAAAGAAATGACTCAAACCAAAAAGCAAAATAACAACAAACCACATCTCCAAATGTGAGGCTAACACTGAGACATTTTTCCCCAACTAAAGTTGTCTTCAATCCCAATTTTATAGATAATAAAATAGATATGCTAGAGTTAGCAAAGACTAGCGCAAAAGAAGAGAGGCAGAGATTATATTAATTACTTAGGCATTAAAATGGTGCACATTGTATGGGAACAAATATTTTAGCACGATGGGTCTCTCTCCAAGGGATAAACACAACCCACTTCCTGGCCACCTCCTCACCCTAGAGTTCACAGCAAATAGCTATTCTCCTTTATTTCAGCGCGACCATAAGTAAAACCACTCACCCACTAATGATTATTGTAAACCTACCAGCAAGTCATCAGGACTGGAGTATTTCTCAGTCTTCCTTCTGTGAAATATATCGATATCTACATCCAATTTCTCTAAAATTCCTACATAAAATGTTGTTACAGATTTCAGAATTAACAACTGGCTACCTGGGAAAGAAGAATAGAAAGTGGGTCCTCAAGTAACAGAGGAGGGAAGTTGACAATTAGGCTAACTGCATTTGGCTAAAACTTGAAAGGTAAAAAAATAAAGTGTAGTTCCAAATATACAATGGTACTGTCTGGTTCGAATTTCACTTTTAGTTGGTCGAATTGTTGATGTGTAATGAAATGGTCGGGGTGGTCAACCAGAGGAATGAGACCTTGGTTAACCCTCATTCTGGGTAATCAGCACCTGAATAACCCACAGTGAATGGAATTACATGTAAACATTTAAAAACACTGTGCGCTCTGGATGCAGCTTGAATGCCAAATAATCCTAACAAAAGGATCAACCTTATATTACAGAAAGTCTCTGTACCTACCAATGAAAAAAACCTAGGATATGTCTCTAATCTCACATTAAAAGTCCTGAAGCCAGGCGAAAATAAATGAGCACAGAATTTTGCAACCAAGATATAGCAAGCTATATTATAGGATACAAATCTGTGATACATCATAATGAGCTTGGTGGTTGTTTGATGGTGATGACGGGGTTTGTTTGAGGAAGTGAAAAGAAATAGAATATAGAAATTAGTAATACAAAAATCTTAGTCTATAAAATGCAAAGCATCTGTGGAAAAGGTGCATTCAAGCAACTTTCCACAGAAAAATCAAAGCAGACACCAGGACAACAGACATAAAGGCAATTTCCCTCACAAAGTCCTCCTTTCCTCTGCCCAAATTCACTGCCGTGAAAAATAACATATTCCAGGTACTTATTTAATTGCTTTCACATGTTCCATTTACTTTTTGAGAAACGTGAGCTATTCAGAACTTTGAACTGAGGTTATTTCTATTTTCCTTTTTTAAAATAAAGGTTTTGGAGGTGTTTGCCAATGACAAATCACAAACCATGGCAACCAAGAACTTCTCCTATATTACTAAGTTTCAGACAGTCAGCAAGATTGAAGCAGCACCATTTATGTGAAGATAAAACCCACGTCATTCAAGAAATGTAAGCGCGTGTGTGTTTTTTAAAATAAAAAATGTCCTCTTAGGTTACGTGAGTTTGACCACGTAGCCCAAGGGTGCTTTTCATTCAAGGAGAGGTGTTGATTTCATACTTCCTTCTGAGTTTGGAAGAAAGTGTGAAATATTTGCCTTTAAAAAGTTCTCCCCAGCTGTTTTAACATAAAGTTGCTGTAGAAGGCTGCATTTCTTCAATCCTACATAGTAGCGGAAATCCTTCATGTCATGTTTCTCTTTTTAAATAACCATGTGCCACTTTCTAAATGCTGAAAATAGCATGTCATTGTCTTTTTATTCAGGAAATATAGTATAAGGAAAGGAAGACTCAGAATTTTTCAAGAAATATTTTTAAAACTATACAATTTTTAAATAAAATACTGTAAATATTTTTAAAAGAAATCTTCCCACCTAAAGAAAATCTGTAGAAGATAAAGAAAATATGCATCACATGTAAAATAAAAGATTCCAAGAAACATGTTCAAAGCTATGATAGAACAGGTTTTAAATAAACCAAAGTAGGAAAATAAAAGTATCTGTTCACATGTATTCAAATATGAGATGGTGTCATGTCACCTCCTTAAGTGAGTCTACTGAAGTTTACTAAAATAAATTTTAATTTGCCTGCCTGTAAACAATAAGGTGAACTCAATATTCCGTGTCCCTCAAAAACCTTCAAGACAAAAAGGATGTGGAAAGTGGCTTTACAACATTGTAAATAGAAACATTTGATTTCCAGCCTCTCCACTGCAGATTCTTTCCACCAGAAAGCCCATATGGCTCAACTTTTAATTACTTTGGCTAATGCTATATGTAGTAATTCTGTGGTGAATGCTTAAGTGTTTCATTTCTGGTTTCCATAGCAACATTACATCAGATTGCAGACAGCTGGCTCCACAGTTTTAAACCATAACAAATTGACCAAGTCAAGGCACAAAACTATAGTTGCTTTAAAGAGATAGCACACCATTCGGCTGCCAGGGCGCTGAATGGGGAACCTACAGGCCATTTGGCAAGAGAGAGAGGGTGGAGCCTCCTCCCTCTCCAGCTTCTTTTGGAACAAGTGCATCCTTGACACATCTGCGATGTTCTAATGAGAAAGCCATGGAGCCAGCGTGGAGAACTTTTTATAAGACAGCTACATATGGGATGATTGGAAAAAGGCAACCAAATTAATCACATCTGTAAAATACGAAGATCTGTGTGCCACAGCGCACTGAAAGCATGCCCTCACCGCTCGATGTGAGCCTGCCTCTGCTGCCTGAAACAGATACTTCACTTAACCTGATCACAAATGGTTCTTGCAACTGCGATGTACAGAATGAACACTTTCCAAAAGCCACACATGGCACGTGTGTTCTGGCACAATCGTAATGAGTTTGCTGGAATAAAGGTTAAACCAAACTTGCAAGGAGAAACTAGACCCTTTTGGGGACTGCTTGAGACCATACTGAGTGAAAGATTACAGCACTGCCCTTTGCAGAATCACTCACTCAGCTTGCTTCCCCAGCTCCAAACCCACAATACGTTGTCCATATTAAGTTCTTTTATCTCGCTCAGTGCCACATAACAGTATAAGATATATAAGTGCTTCTGGAAATATTTTTCTATTGCAAATGTACTTCCTTGAGAAAAATCACACAATGGTTTCTTTTTAAGCCAGCACATAATCAGGCATCAATTCTTCAACTTTCTAGGTCCCCAAGCTGTCACAGAAGTTACCCCTTAAAGTTAAGAGAAGGAAGCCAATCATTTGTAGTCTTCTGAAAAGCAATGTGAAGCACTGTCTGAATTCAAGTCCCTCACGCAAAAAGCCAGCTCAACTCACAACTGAGCTCCAACCCGCGTTCTCAAAATAATATTTACTATTCCACTCCAAAAGCACTGCATGATTTCTGGGTGAGCCTGCTGGGCAAGAATGCTCAGGGTTATGGATGGGGAAGGCGGGGAAAGAGAAAAATTTAGAGGAATTTAAAGAGGAAAAAAAAGATGCATCAGAGGCAGGAGAAAGCAGAAACCTTAGTCTCAAAGCAACAAAAAAGTTTTCCTTTCACTTACCGGCTTCGGCATTTAGCAGGCGTAAGGGACAGCTGTGAAAAGGTCCGGACTCCCCACCCCTCCCCACTCAGAGTGCCTCTCACTCCGATCTGTCAACTCCACGATGGCAAAGTCAGGATCCAGCACTCCTCAAACATGTTCTCAGCAGTTACATGATCAGGCAGGGTCTGCTGTCACAGCCCAGTATCCAAAGGAGAAGAAAGTGAAGACACTGGATTCAATTAGCCTCTCTCTGCCTGCTGCCTGACTCCCCAGTCGCTTGCTAACTGCATAACTTGTAAGAAAGGCATAAGTCATCAGCTCTAAGCAAATCTCCTATTCACCACAAGGAAAAAAGGGAGTGTTGTGCATGGCCAACAATCCCTGTTTTCACTGAGG